CTTCCTCGCATCTGGTGTCCTGGAGTTTCCATCGCAGATCTATCTGCACTATCTTGTTTGCCTTCGTGGATTCGGCATATTTCTGCCCATATATTCGAGGCTCTGGATGCACAACAATAGTCGGTCTGAGACCGTACTAAATATGTGTTGCTTGACGAGTGAGTCCTTCTGTTGAAACTCGTCTTCCTTCTTCTCCTGTTCTTCAATCTCTGTTTGGGTAGCTACTGATTTATTTGGCTTCAGTGCTTGTCCTTGCGAGTCAATCTCGAAAGGTACAGGTTCCTTCGTCCTACCATCAAGATAGCGCATCAGACCTCATGCTCGTATCACCGTTTGGGCCCTTTCCTTATAGGTTATCCAGTTCGTTCTGTCGTCAGAGAGCTGGGGGATATGATATAATGATGAGGAGCTGGGGAGCGTCGTATCCATGGTAGTAGCAGGGCTCATAACCTGTAAACTTTAGTGTAGTATTTGAATGAAGACTTTGAGATAATTAATGGACTCAATTTCTACTTGAAATAATGCTACAGTATATACAATAAGGTACGCTAAATGTAAGTACCCGGACCGTGTATATGTAATCGCGGACTTGTCTATGGTCCACGAGTCGATGACAAATAATGTCCGTTTTGGACATTACCGGTTATTCGTTCCCTACATTACTAATTCTTCTACATATTACTAATATTTTCTTTGTTGTGCTCATACCTCTATCTCCAATATGTGCTAACTCCTACACTGAAAATCCTAGAAATGGGATCAGACACACTAGTTGGATTGAGGTATAATACCACTTGCCTGCATGGGAACGCAAGGGCAAAGATCTGTACGGCACGTTACAGCTACCGTTGTATCGCTAGACCAGCCTGAAGGTAAAAGCTCAAGCTCGAAGTGCTAATTAGTGCAGGCCATGACCCCGCACAAGCACCTTGGCAGAGGTCTACACTTCCAGTTTTCCAACTGCACAAGTAAACGAGTGAAGCAGATGCGTGCTTCTGTTTTTCTATTGAAGCAAATTCTATTCCATCAACATGAGAGTAGATGTGGGAGTACATTACTGTGGGCCCTCCTTTGAGCCCATTCAGTGAAATAGTCTGTATCTCACAGTCAGCCCAATGTGACAATCACCCGTACTATACGGGCCACCCCACATGGGCCCATGGGCAATTGTATAGGTAACATATGGGTGGGCCCATAGTTGACAATATGCGAGAGTCTCGGCTGGGCCCATAGTATATAGCGGTAGGTCTATAGTATGATGATAATACATCTCATGTAATTATTATAGTGGGTGATGACTTGGCCCAGAATGTCCCTAAGATGCCATGAATGACGTGTCAGCCCATGGGTGCTGAAAATCATAATCATCGTAGGTGATGACTTGGCCCAACATGCCTATAAGACAGCGTGAATGATGTCTCGGCCCATGGATGCTGACATTTACCAGGGTCAATTTTGATTGTTCGGCCCAAGGTCTCGGCCAATACCAACAATACCTATCGGTCACATTTCGGTCCAGATGCAGGTCTGGTCAGTCACATGTCAGTATATCCGGCATCCATCGGTCACATCTGGACCCGTACACTATGAATCACATGCAAAATAAACAACCCTCCGGCCATGCTCGGTCAGTGTCATTCAGATGTCGGCCGAGAGATATATCGAGCATTAGATGTGGCCGAAAGACGTATGAATTTAAATATAACCGGTCATGCTCTGTCGGTGTAATTGACATGTTGGCCGACATATGCATCAAGCATCAGATGTGGCCGACCATGCACAGCAGCTCATGAAACTAGCAGGATGAAGTCAGGTAGATTGGATGGGTATATGCGGGCTGTAAGCTTGGCAGGGTGACAATGCACAGCAGCTCATGATACTAGCAGGATAAAGTCAGGTAAATAGAACAGGTATATGTGGTGGCCAGCCAAGAAAACTGATAATGCAGTAGCCCATGATACTGGCAGGATGAGGTCAGGTAGATAAGTATATCCGGCTGAGCCACAAAAGTAACGAGATAAACATACATAAATAATGCCAGAGATGCTGGGCCGCTCAATGAGGATTATGAAGTTTACATACCGTTCACATACTGCCTGAAATGTCTTCTACCTTGCTGTATTTCGCATAATCCTCCTGAGCATAGATTGAGTGCTGTCCGCATGGTATCTTGAAATGATTATGCACACTGTCTCTCATAAACCATGCCCACACCCATTGGTCGCCCGACCTGACATCTACCTCATGTCGGACAAGCCGACCACAGAATGCTACCATCACCCCTGAGTCATATACCAACTCGATACCTAGATTAGGAAGCTTCATGTGGGTGTTTGGATAGTTGCCGATGCATGTCATGATATCAAACCATTCAGGGCAGCATTGGGGATCGCGATGTGCGGGTGACCATCGGTTGGCCATTATAGCAGCACCTGTGAAGACCGACACCCAATACCTAATGCGATCATACATCTCACTTCGTCCAGTGGAATAAGCCCAGCGTCCGATCTCAATGGTGGTTCGCAATGGGTCCCAATATAGACTAGGGTGCATGACCCTCAATGCGGCCGAGATGAGCAGGGAAGGTCGTTGCATAGACTTAATGATGGATAATCCATGGGGACTTTTGAGAGTAGCCGACACGTCTGGACAGAAGCTGACGTCAGTGTTTTGATGGGCATGACCATAAGGCTTGTCATAGTCAGCGACATAACTGTAAACTCTTGTGAGATGCGACTAACCTCGTGGCCCTGTTGAAACCAGCAGGGAGATACATTGATACAGCCTGGGGACACACTGCGTGTTTCGGTCGCATGAAAATATGACCCATCTGTCCTCCAAACACCATTTGCATTGGCTGAGAATATACTGTCTCTCAGGAGATCATTGGCATTATGCATCGCAGCACTGATATCATCCTGATGAATGCCTGTTTAACGGATGACCGGCATGAAAAGACACACTCACTTTCATCCAAACTGACAATGCTGCTGGCACATACCAAAAGATGATGCAATAACCTGCATCTAACACAATGCAGGGCTTCTCAAGTACTATCTGTCGACTAGGTGGGAACTTCTTTGACAGGCGCGCTTCCTGTGTGGAACTGCGGCCGGTTGGCTGCTGCCCGCAAGCATCGCTGTATCGTTTGAGATCAAGATTTGCTATCTAGTCAGGACCAAAGTGCTAAATATGAAGAGAACTCACTTGTATTCATATATGCATTGGCCAAAGTCGATGCCAGTTGTGCACAGCTCAACGCCATTTGGACATCAAGATCAATGGGTGGAATAATGGATGGAGACTGATGAACATGAGACCAAAATTGTTCCTCGACGTACTGGCTGGCTAAATGGACCTTGCGCAAAGCCCAGTCATCGGGCACATCGATGTTATGCATGAGGTGTTGATACATATTGCATAATGTTATAAGTCACAGGGTGATTGCCGACATTGAAAGCTTCCTAAAAGATGACATACAAGTGATATAATGCAATTGATTGCATGTAATATTGCTATGTGTAGGTGACCGACGTGTAAAGCATGACTACGGAGTGGTAACCAACTGCCTTGCACAATAAACCAAACAGCGAGAAGCTTCCATAGCATGGCCGATATTGAGGTCCTCTTGGCAGCCGAGAGACTTGGCACCGAGTTCGGCCTCGATCTGCTTGTCCTCAATCAATTGGCGAACTTCATCTGTGGCACGTGCTGCAGCTGCCCTAACTACAAGAAGCTGCCTGCTGAGCGGACCTCCTTGAGGGTTCATGGTGGTAGGTAAAGCCGCCAGCAATGCACCTTCCGGCTGCCCTATGTCAGCCGACAAACTGAAAATACATTTGAATGCTTACTTGTTGCTCAAAATGTTCATTGACGAATGCCATTACTTCTGTGAGGTTCAACTGTACGCCTGGAGTCTGAAAACTCATGTCCCATCAGTCATTCCACCAGGAATAGGGGTAATGATCCACCAGCTGATGACCTTCCCACAAACATGGATACTTCTCGGCAGGGCAAGCTAGGAATGCATCGGCGATATCCTCATCGTGATATAACCCAACCTGCTGCCTGCCCATGAGACCCACAATCTGCACCAGAAGGAATGGCAGGGTGGGTTGCATATTTGCGCCCATGCAGATGTTAACAAAGGGCAAGACAAATATCTCGACCGGTGATTAATGTAATGGATACAGCAGATTCAAGAATGAAACTCACCTGTGCTTCCCAAATGATGTGCCTTCCGAGCATCTGATTGACTTTCGGTGTGTGCTTCATGTAGCTCTTGCCAAGAGCACGGCGAATGGCAGCGAATCTGGATGTCGCGAACTCGAACACATTGGCAGCATCCCAAAGTGTGAATTGCGGTAGTGGGTCATTATTGTTAGTTCCGGCTCTCTGGCCTCTGGTTGCGCAATGGCCAGTAGAGGCTGAGCCATTCCAGGATGAGTTGTCGGAAGTGCTCGTCATTGGTGGAGATGAACGGAAAGACTTATCAAGGATCATGAATGAATGTATTTAAACTCAGCATACCTTTTGGGCCGGAATTTGGAACAGTCTTGTATTATGTCATCAAATTGAAGCATGCGCCTTCAGCCGGAATCTGGGCGAACCGCCATGCTCAGCCACAAGCTGCATATTGCGTAATGACTCGAAAATTTTCAATCATCATGTGAGGCACCTGCAAGCGCAATACAACCGAAACAACATATACCCGTCAGGCGGAATTTGGAACCATCGTAGATTATGTTGTGGTGCATAACCAGAAATTTAGAATTCTCATCCTCAAATTCATGCATGGCTCCCTTGGCCAGAATGCAGTCAAAACAACCAGAAACTGCTCCTAAGGCAAGGTGCAAGTGCTGATCTTTCTCTTCCGCTTGTCTCTGCACATTGTAAGTTAAATAATTAAATAAGCCAAGTATTCCATGATGGTAATAAAGCACTCTGTATAACCTTACAACGTATCAACAGACCTGTGTGACCTTGTTCCTTTGATGAGCATACACAAGCTTTCACCATCCATCTGGTAGATATCATCTTGTCGGCTTTGAGTTCACGAGGATTTTCAATGCTCAAAGACGAGATCTCTTGTCAGCCGAAACACATTATATCAAATCAAACTTACAATTTACACTTGAGATCGAGAATGTCATGTGATCTTCTGACTCGATAATAGTCTTATATTCATCAATATTACCACTGGATGAAAGGTCATTGGCTTTGTTAAAATCCGACATTTAGTAACATTGAGACCAAGTCAGCCGAAATCACGTCAGCGGTAAATGAACTCATGGTCGTGGGGTGTAACAATTTCTGGATATGTATTAGATAGATGGCAGTCATAACCTGTATAAAAACAAGACATTGCACTCAATATCCAACCAATAGTCGGCCGAAAATTATATCAGATAGGAATGAACTTGCCATCTGAACTATGGCCGGATGATATCTTGGATCATACACAATTTTTCATAGTATGCTCTGTAATTAAAACGCCTCTAACTACGTTAGTCAAAAAATCAACAATCAACGAAATCTTGATGCACAAAGAGCCGCAAGAATATCACACTCAACACAGCCACAACATCACGTGCTTGAGGATCCAATCATTCCGCAGTTAAAGATTAAGGTGAACGACCGGTCCGATAATTTCATCACTGCTCATCACATCACTTCTCTTCAATTCACTGCCGACTTCAAATCTATGATATCTACATATTACCGAAAATGTTCTCTGAAGCAGAGTCAAATGCTGCCTTTGAGGTGGCACTCGACAAAATGCAAGGCATGATCTCTGAAGCTTTGAAGATGGAAGATCTGGACCCAAGGCTGCGCAAGCTTGGAGTTCACATACTACAGTGACCTATCTCCGTATAATACGAGGGAACAGACGTGCATAATATCCCGTATGATACAGGCCAGCGGACCATGGGCCCATGATAAAAATATTCTCGACTATGACGGATGGGCCAGGAGGCAAATTATTCCCGATGGAGGCGGGTGGGCCCATGCAGGGAATATATAGAGTAGATGAGTGGGCCGATGTAAATGAATATTAGGTAGACGGGTGGGCCGAGGTAGCTGGATATTATGCAGATGGGTGTATTAAGGTAGATGTGTATGAGATAGATGGGTAGGTACTTGTTATCACATCCACGGGTGGGCCCAGACACATATTAAATTAGACGGGTGGGCCGAGGGTATTATAAAATATTGTATTATACGGGTGGGCCGAGGGTGTTGTATGGGATATTGTATTAGACCTGTGGGCCGAGGGTGGTATACAATATAGATGGGTGGGCCCATGTGTATCATAATTGTAGACATGATGGAGCTGAGGTAGTTGTACATCAACCAAATCAGAGGAGGTAATAAATCAAAGTTACCAAGTTCCTGGAGCATCAGGTGATCTCCTGACATGGCAGTGCGAAGCTTGTGTTGCCCAACGAGACACCAAGTTCCGGCCACCAGAATTTGAGTCAACTGTACCGACCTCCGAGTTCCGGGACCCGGGAGTCGACAAATGAATATCTGATGACCAGTGAGTCAACCTTACTCAGAGGAGGTAATAAATCACAGTTACCGAGTTCCCGGAGCAGCAGGTGATCTCCTGATATGGCAGTACGAAGCTTGTGTTGCCCTATGAGACGCCAAATTCCGACCACTCAAATATGGGTCAACCGTACCGACTTCCGAGTACTGGGACCCGGGAGTCGACAAATGAATATCTGATGACCAGCACACTTCCAATCAGGTAGTATTTCATTGAGCAATGGATAATAATACATCTTTGACAGCGGCCAAAATTATCCATGGCTCCCTTATCTGATCCTCTCTATCTCCACCCCCTATAACACCAAAGTCCGGACATCCAGCATTCAGCGTCTGATTTCCCAAGATTAACATCCAGCATGAACGGTTCTTCCCCTTCCCCTCCTGATAGCATAAACATCTGGCGCACTTGGGCCCTGACTGTGACTTATGAAGCAGGGGAATATACCGAACAGAAATTCAAGGCAGAGAAGACTGGAGGAGGCCCAGTCATACCTTCCCCCAACCTAGACACTGATCTGGTGATGGCGTGCGATCGCTTGGCTGATGTACTCATAAAGGCATCTAAAAATCCCAGTGGGTCTTCCTGCAGATTCAGAAAATTCTATTTATCATTCAAATTCCTGCATGACAGTTCAGATGCAGATGGATATTGCAAGATATAGCAAATTGATCTCCCCGAAGGACACCGGGCATAATGAACATAAAGAGGCGAGGTTGCTTGAGAGGTGTCCTCCTGGCCATGAAGGCAAAAGGTTGGTCGATGAACCTGCAATAATTCTTGATGCATCCGGTGCCATCATTGCATGGTATCTCCCAGATGCCCTGACAGACACCACCCAGGTGTGTAATATACATTGTTACTCGATGGATATCGAATATTAATGGAACCTACAGAAGGAAATCAGGGAGGCCACCTATTTGCTCTCTCCAAGCCTCGAAAAAAGTGTAAGGGCTGATGGCAATTGGCGAACTAATCAAAGGTTGTTCAACCGGGGCTCGGAAGATGTTGGAGCAACTCCCGGATGCATCAATCTATCTCCGGCATGGTTTCAACAGGGACACGAGGTAGGATCTGATGAGATGGTGATTCCGGCAGTCATACTTACCAATCCCAAAGAATGTGTCCGATCCGGAGGTATCTGCATCATTGAAGGGACCTTCCTGCGAGAATATCCTCAAAGCCATTGCAAGGCCAGCAGCCATTGCGTCCGCGGCACTCAGAGTCATGCATCCTGAGCAGTACTGGGCAGGGTTGAGAACCTTGTCAAACCTTGGAAATATAGCAGTAAGCAAGGATCTGCCACAGATGCCGGAGGCCCTGCAGTACTGGGCATCCGTGTTTAACACCCTCTCCATTATTTCCAATCGGGAAACCCCCCATCATCGAGACCACATGTCCATTGCTGAATGCTTCGACATTCTCACCACCGTGGGGGACTATTCTAATGCTCGGATGACAATGCCAAACCTTCAGCTGGAGTTCAAGTACAATTCCGGCTGTATGATTGCATTTTCCGGAAAGATTGTGAGACATGGAGTGTATGATGTGGAAGGGGATCGGATTGCTTGGGCATGGTATATGAGGGATGCTGTTCATATTTATGCTGGTGTTCCATCATGTGGATGGGCTAGTGTGGATGGTCCATACAGCGTGTGAAAGATCAAACAAAGAGCAAGCATTGTGACCTATATACATTCCAACAAATGAATACCATGTACCAATTGTGATCCGGACCTCAATACTCAATTTTGAGCATTTCCCAAGTGATATGTGGGACTAAATAATTTGGATGCAAGCCTCGGTATTCGATAATTGGAACTCGGGACTTGACATATGGGAGTCCTGAGTGCCGGGGTACTTAGTCCCGACACCCGGACCTCAGCACGTGATATTTGAGACTGGGGGAAGATGTATAAATATGCTCGAATTAACATTTGTTATTGCCATACACATTTAACAAAACCCTGAACCCCGACATTGTGGACTCTGGACTCGACACTGTTCTGAATACCGAGTTCCAGATGCCCAGGTCCCAAGTCCCGAATTTCGGAGGTCAGGGCTCGGAGACCCGGAGCTCGGCAACTGTGTTGGGTGTCAGGGTATCCAGACCATTGGAGATAGCATGTGTCAGTATTTTGCGTTTCATGGTTTATGTTGGGTGAATATGGAATCGGGGATCAGGGACTCGGTATTCAGAACAGTGTCAAGTCCCAGGTCACAAGCTCCGAGTCCCGAGTGCCGAACCCCGAGTCCCGAGTCCCGAATTTCGGAAGTCGGGGTTCGGCGACACGGAGCTCGGCAACTGCTGGGTGTGGGTTTCGGGACTCGGGACTCGGAGCTCATGACCTGGGACTCAACACTGTTCTGAATACCGAGTCCCTGACACCTGATTCCATAATCACGAAACATAAACCATGAAACTTAAAATACTGACAAATGCTATCTCCAATGCTCCGAGTACCCTGACACCCAACACAGTTGCCGAGCTCAGGGTCGCCGAACCCCGACTTCCGAAATTCGGGACTCGGGGTTCGGTACTCGGTACTCGGAGCTCGTGACCTGGGACTTGACACTGTTCTGAATACCGAGTCCCTGATCCCCGATTCCATATTCACACAACATAAACCATGAAACGCAAAATACTGACACATGCTATCTCCAATGGTCTGGATACCCTGACAGCCAACACAGTTGCCGAGCTCCAGGTCTCCGACCTCCGACCTCCGAAATTCGGGACTCGGGACCTGGGCGTCCGGGACTCAAATGTGAGATTTTTGAATGCATAGAATATGTTACATCTTGTATACAATGAAGAGTGAATGGGACTACACTCCTTTGCCTTTCCTCAATTTCTCTAACATGTCAGTGTACATCTTCACCTCTCCCATCTTAGCTTCGATGCCCTGATCTTGCTCCTCCAGCAATGCTTCCATGCGTTCTTTGATGAATCTCAGTCCCATGAGTGGTGGAGTCGAAGTGTTTTTCAACTTCTCTGGAAGTACCAAAGCATCATCCTCAACATTAAGCTGAAACAGATAAGTCATCAATCAAGGTAATTCAGCTGACATCTTACCGCCCAATACTGGTAGTGAGAGACGCAGGAAGCCATTATTTCATCCCACTGCCATGGTTGATCAGGGATTGTGGTGTTTCCCATCCACCATGGACATGTATATGCGAACACAATCCGGGACGGATGTCCTGCAATTGGCTCATCATGAAATGAAAGGAGGTGGAATGAAAAGACGTCGTCCGGAACAGTGTTCCAGGTCAGCATGGGATATAACTTAAGGATATAAGCGACAGGGACCGGAAGAACCGACACGATATTCTGTGAAGCGGAGTACTGCAGGAGTGGTGTGACAAATGTCTGCTCAAATTCTTAGCATTGACCAACAAAGTCATCAGGGCAGTGGTGACATACATTCATCTCCCATTGCAGCCCAGCTTTAAAATACTTGATCCGGTCAGCAGATAGACCATTGTTGGCAGCTTCCGTCCGATATTGAGAGATGATTGCATGGACGCGCGATCCAGCCATTGCCAATGTGCAGGAAATAGTTGCAAGGCTCAGCTTCAGAGGTCGGTAATGGCTTCCGGGATTCAGAGTGCCAGAAGTGGATGCATGAGATGCAGACATGGCTAATACAGGACTATGGCGCTGGCAATACAAGTGAAAGATGGTCAAGATGTGAAGATAAGAATCACTGATGGATGGATACAAAATTCAAACTCTGACATGGGCTGACCCGGACAATTCCCGGGCGTCAATTATGTATGTGGAAAAAGGGACTTCATGAGAAAACAATGTTCATTCATCTCCAGCCTCTATCAACATGTTTTGTAGGTCTTGAAAAGCTGCCTGCGCATCCTGTGCCAGCAATGAATACATGTGGGATTGCCTTCCGGCGTAGCATCCGTGACCCGGAAGTCGTTTCTCCAATGATTCCTGCATGTGCTCGCCCCATATGGTTGTTTTCCACAAAAAGAACTTACATGTCCAATCCATCTCAATGTGACCAATAGCATTTCTTCCCTCCATCGATCCCGTAGTGCCTTTGCCCTCAGCCAATGGACTCGGTAAACTTGGCATGGGTCCAGTCAGGTAACCGCGGGATATGACATGCAAGCGGGAACTCACATTCTTCATTCCACGATTGATCAGGACCCCCGAGGTCGACTTCAACAGACCAAAACCAAGCCAAAGATTCATTTCGTTGACCTCGGGGGTCCTGATCAATCGTGGAATGAAGAATGTGAGTTCCCGCTTGCATGTCATATCCCGCGGTTACCTGACTGGACCCATGCCAAGTTTACCGAGTCCATTGGCTGAGGGCAAAGGCACTACGGGATCGATGGAGGGAAGAAATGCTATTGGTCACATTCGAGATTGGACATGTAAGTTCTTTTTGTGGAAAACAACCATATGGGGCGAGCACATGCAGGAATCATTGGAGAAACGACTTCCGGGTCACGGATGCTACGCCGGAAGGCAATCCCACATGTATTCATTGCTGGCACAGGATGCGCAGGCAGCTTTTCAAGACCTACAAAACATGTTGATAGAGGCTGGAGATGAATGAACATTGTTTTTCTCATGAAGTCCCTTTTTCCACATACATAATTGACGCCCGGGAATTGTCCGGGTCAGCCCATGTCAGAGTTTGAATTTTGTATCCATCCATCAGTGATTCTTATCTTCACATCTTGACCATCTTTCACTTGTATTGCCAGCGCCATAGTCCTGTATTAGCCATGTCTGCATCTCATGCATCCACTTCTGGCACTCTGAATCCCGGAAGCCATTACCGACCTCTGAAGCTGAGCCTTGCAACTATTTCCTGCACATTGGCAATGGCTGGATCGCGCGTCCATGCAATCATCTCTCAATATCGGACGGAAGCTGCCAACAATGGTCTATCTGCTGACCGGATCAAGTATTTTAAAGCTGGGCTGCAATGGGAGATGAATGTATGTCACCACTGCCCTGATGACTTTGTTGGTCAATGCTAAGAATTTGAGCAGACATTTGTCACACCACTCCTGCAGTACTCCGCTTCACAGAATATCGTGTCGGTTCTTCCGGTCCCTGTCGCTTATATCCTTAAGTTATATCCCATGCTGACCTGGAACACTGTTCCGGACGACGTCTTTTCATTCCACCTCCTTTCATTTCATGATGAGCCAATTGCAGGACATCCGTCCCGGATTGTGTTCGCATATACATGTCCATGGTGGATGGGAAACACCACAATCCCTGATCAACCATGGCAGTGGGATGAAATAATGGCTTCCTGCGTCTCTCACTACCAGTATTGGGCGGTAAGATGTCAGCTGAATTACCTTGATTGATGACTTATCTGTTTCAGCTTAATGTTGAGGATGATGCTTTGGTACTTCCAGAGAAGTTGAAAAACACTTCGACTCCACCACTCATGGGACTGAGATTCATCAAAGAACGCATGGAAGCATTGCTGGAGGAGCAAGATCAGGGCATCGAAGCTAAGATGGGAGAGGTGAAGATGTACACTGACATGTTAGAGAAATTGAGGAAAGGCAAAGGAGTGTAGTCCCATTCACTCTTCATTGTATACAAGATGTAACATATTCTATGCATTCAAAAATCTCACATTTGAGTCCCGGACGCCCAGGTCCCGAGTCCCGAATTTCGGAGGTCGGAGGTCGGAGACCTGGAGCTCGGCAACTGTGTTGGCTGTCAGGGTATCCAGACCATTGGAGATAGCATGTGTCAGTATTTTGCGTTTCATGGTTTATGTTGTGTGAATATGGAATCGGGGATCAGGGACTCGGTATTCAGAACAGTGTCAAGTCCCAGGTCACGAGCTCCGAGTACCGAGTACCGAACCCCGAGTCCCGAATTTCGGAAGTCGGGGTTCGGCGACCCTGAGCTCGGCAACTGTGTTGGGTGTCAGGGTACTCGGAGCATTGGAGATAGCATTTGTCAGTATTTTAAGTTTCATGGTTTATGTTTCGTGATTATGGAATCAGGTGTCAGGGACTCGGTATTCAGAACAGTGTTGAGTCCCAGGTCATGAGCTCCGAGTCCCGAGTCCCGAAACCCACACCCAGCAGTTGCCGAGCTCCGTGTCGCCGAACCCCGACTTCCGAAATTCGGGACTCGGGACTCGGGGTTCGGCACTCGGGACTCGGAGCTTGTGACCTGGGACTTGACACTGTTCTGAATACCGAGTCCCTGATCCCCGATTCCATATTCACCCAACATAAACCATGAAACGCAAAATACTGACACATGCTATCTCCAATGGTCTGGATACCCTGACACCCAACACAGTTGCCGAGCTCCGGGTCTCCGAGCCCTGACCTCCGAAATTCGGGACTTGGGACCTGGGCATCTGGAACTCGGTATTCAGAACAGTGTCGAGTCCAGAGTCCACAATGTCGGGGTTCAGGGTTTTGTTAAATGTGTATGGCAATAACAAATGTTAATTCGAGCATATTTATACATCTTCCCCCAGTCTCAAATATCACGTGCTGAGGTCCGGGTGTCGGGACTAAGTACCCCGGCACTCAGGACTCCCATATGTCAAGTCCCGAGTTCCAATTATCGAATACCGAGGCTTGCATCCAAATTATTTAGTCCCACATATCACTTGGGAAATGCTCAAAATTGAGTATTGAGGTCCGGATCACAATTGGTACATGGTATTCATTTGTTGGAATGTATATAGGTCACAATGCTTGCTCTTTGTTTGATCTTTCACACGCTGTATGGACCATCCACACTAGCCCATCCACATGATGGAACACCAGCATAAATATGAACAGCATCCCTCATATACCATGCCCAAGCAATCCGATCCCCTTCCACATCATACACTCCATGTCTCACAATCTTTCCGGAAAATGCAATCATACAGCCGGAATTGTACTTGAACTCCAGCTGAAGGTTTGGCATTGTCATCCGAGCATTAGAATAGTCCCCCACGGTGGTGAGAATGTCGAAGCATTCAGCAATGGACATGTGGTCTCGATGATGGGGGGTTTCCCGATTGGAAATAATGGAGAGGGTGTTAAACACGGATGCCCAGTACTGCAGGGCCTCCGGCATCTGTGGCAGATCCTTGCTTACTGCTATATTTCCAAGGTTTGACAAGGTTCTCAACCCTGCCCAGTACTGCTCAGGATGCATGACTCTGAGTGCCGCGGACGCAATGGCTGCTGGCCTTGCAATGGCTTTGAGGATATTCTCGCAGGAAGGTCCCTTCAATGATGCAGATACCTCCGGATCGGACACATTCTTTGGGATTGGTAAGTATGACTGCCGGAATCACCATCTCATCAGATCCTACCTCGTGTCCCTGTTGAAACCATGCCGGAGATAGATTGATGCATCCGGGAGTTGCTCCAACATCTTCCGAGCCCCGGTTGAACAACCTTTGATTAGTTCGCCAATTGCCATCAGCCCTTACACTTTTTTCGAGGCTTGGAGAGAGCAAATAGGTGGCCTCCCTGATTTCCTTCTGTAGGTTCCATTAATATTCGATATCCATCGAGTAACAATGTATATTACACACCTGGGTGGTGTCTGTCAGGGCATCTGGGAGATACCATGCAATGATGGCACCGGATGCATCAAGAATTATTGCAGGTTCATCGACCAACCTTTTGCCTTCATGGCCAGGAGGACACCTCTCAAGCAACCTCGCCTCTTTATGTTCATTATGCCCGGTGTCCTTCGGGGAGATCAATTTGCTATATCTTGCAATATCCATCTGCATCTGAACTGTCATGCAGGAATTTGAATGATAAATAGAATTTTCTGAATCTGCAGGAAGACCCACTGGGATTTTTAGATGCCTTTATGAGTACATCAGCCAAGCGATCGCACGCCATCACCAGATCAGTGTCTAGGTTGGGGGAAGGTATGACTGGGCCTCCTCCAGTCTTCTCTGCCTTGAATTTCTGTTCGGTATATTCCCCTGCTTCATAAGTCACAGTCAGGGCCCAAGTGCGCCAGATGTTTATGCTATCAGGAGGGGAAGGGGAAGAACCGTTCATGCTGGATGTTAATCTTGGGAAATCAGACGCTGAATGCTGGATGTCCGGACTTTGGTGTTATAGGGGGTGGAGATAGAGAGGATCAGATAAGGGAGCCATGGATAATTTTGGCCGCTGTCAAAGATGTATTATTATCCATTGCTCAATGAAATACTACCTGATTGGAAGTGTGCTGGTCATCAGATATTCATTTGTCGACTCCCGGGTCCCAGTACTCGGAAGTCGGTACGGTTGACCCATATTTGAGTGGTCGGAATTTGGCGTCTCATAGGGCAACACAAGCTTCGTACTGCCATATCAGGAGATCACCTGCTGCTCCGGGAACTCGGTAACTGTGATTTATTACCTCCTCTGAGTAAGGTTGACTCACTGGTCATCAGATATTCATTTGTCGACTCCCGGGTCCCGGAACTCGGAGGTCGGTACAGTTGACTCAAATTCTGGTGGCCGGAACTTGGTGTCTCGTTGGGCAACACAAGCTTCGCACTGCCATGTCAGGAGATCACCTGATGCTCCAGGAACTTGGTAACTTTGATTTATTACCTCCTCTGATTTGGTTGATGTACAACTACCTCAGCTCCATCATGTCTACAATTATGATACACATGGGCCCACCCATCTATATTGTATACCACCCTCGGCCCACAGGTCTAATACAATATCCCATACAACACCCTCGGCCCACCCGTATAATACAATATTTTATAATACCCTCGGCCCACCCGTCTAATTTAATATGTGTCTGGGCCCACCCGTGGATGTGATAACAAGTACCTACCCATCTATCTCATACACATCTACCTTAATACACCCATCTGCATAATATCCAGCTACCTCGGCCCACCCGTCTACCTAATATTCATTTACATCGGCCCACTCATCTACTCTATATATTCCCTGCATGGGCCCACCCGCCTCCATCGGGAATAATTTGCCTCCTGGCCCATCCGTCATAGTCGAGAATATTTTTATCATGGGCCCATGGTCCGCTGGCCTGTATCATACGGGATATTATGCACGTCTGTTCCCTCGTATTATACGGAGATAGGTCACTGTAGTATGTGAACTCCAAGCTTGCGCAGCCTTGGGTCCAGATCTTCCATCTTCAAAGCTTCAGAGATCATGCCTTGCATTTTGTCGAGTGCCACCTCAAAGGCAGCATTTGACTCTGCTTCAGAGAACATTTTCGGTAATATGTAGATATCATAGATTTGAAGTCGGCAGTGAATTGAAGAGAAGTGATGTGATGAGCAGTGATGAAATTATCGGACCGGTCGTTCACCTTAATCTTTAACTGCGGAATGATTGGATCCTCAAGCACGTGATGTTGTGGCTGTGTTGAGTGTGATATTCTTGCGGCTCTTTGTGCATCAAGATTTCGTTGATTGTTGATTTTTTGACTAACGTAGTTAGAGGCGTTTTAATTACAGAGCATACTATGAAAAATTGTGTATGATCCAAGATATCATCCGGCCATAGTTCAGATGGCAAGTTCATTCCTATCTGATATAATTTTCGGCCGACTATTGGTTGGATATTGAGTGCAATGTCTTGTTTTTATACAGGTTATGACTGCCATCTATCTAATACATATCCAGAAATTGTTACACCCCACGACCATGAGTTCATTTACCGCTGACGTGATTTCGGCTGACTTGGTCTCAATGTTACTAAATGTCGGATTTTAACAAAGCCAATGACCTTTCATCCAGTGGTAATATTGATGAATATAAGACTATTATCGAGTCAGAAGATCACATGACATTCTCGATCTCAAGTGTAAATTGTAAGTTTGATTTGATATAATGTGTTTCGGCTGACAAGAGATCTCGTCTTTGAGCATTGAAAATCCTCGTGAACTCAAAGCCGACAAGATGATATCTACCAGATGGATGGTGAAAGCTTGTGTATGCTCATCAAAGGAACAAGGTCACACAGGTCTGTTGATACGTTGTAAGGTTATACAGAGTGCTTTATTACCATCATGGAATACTTGGCTTATTTAATTATTTAACTTACAATGTGCAGAGACAAGCGGAAGAGAAAGATCAGCACTTGCACCTTGCCTTAGGAGCAGTTTCTGGTTGTTTTGACTGCATTCTGGCCAAGGGAGCCATGCATGAATTTGAGGATGAGAATTCTAAATTTCTGGTTATGCACCACAACATAATCTACGATGGTTCCAAATTCCGCCTGACGGGTATATGTTGTTTCGGTTGTATTGCGCTTGCAGGTGCCTCACATGATGATTGAAAATTTTCGAGTCATTACGCAATATGCAGCTTGTGGCTGAGCATGGCGGTTCGCCCAGATTCCGGCTGAAGGCGCATGCTTCAATTTGATGACATAATACAAGACTGTTCCAAATTCCGGCCCAAAAGGTATGCTGAGTTTAAATACATTCATTCATGATCCTTGATAAGTCTTTCCGTTCATCTCCACCAATGACGAGCACTTCCGACAACTCATCCTGGAATGGCTCAGCCTCTACTGGCCATTGCGCAACCAGAGGCCAGAGAGCCGGAACTAACAATAATGACCCACTACCGCAATTCACACTTTGGGATGCTGCCAATGTGTTCGAGTTCGCGACATCCAGATTCGCTGCCATTCGCCGTGCTCTTGGCAAGAGCTACATGAAGCACACACCGAAAGTCAATCAGATGCTCGGAAGGCACATCATTTGGGAAGCACAGGTGAGTTTCATTCTTGAATCTGCTGTATCCATTACATTAATCACCGGTCGAGATATTTGTCTTGCCCTTTGTTAACATCTGCATGGGCGCAAATATGCAACCCACCCTGCCATTCCTTCTGGTGCAGATTGTGGGTCTCATGGGCAGGCAGCAGGTTGGGTTATATCACGATGAGGATATCGCCGATGCATTCCTAGCTTGCCCTGCCGAGAAGTATCCATGTTTGTGGGAAGGTCATCAGCTGGTGGATCATTACCCCTATTCCTGGTGGAATGACTGATGGGACATGAGTTTTCAGACTCCAGGCGTACAGTTGAACCTCACAGAAGTAATGGCATTCGTCAATGAACATTTTGAGCAACAAGTAAGCATTCAAATGTATTTTCAGTTTGTCGGCTGACATAGGGCAGCCGGAAGGTGCATTGCTGGCGGCTTTACCTACCACCATGAACCCTCAAGGAGGTCCGCTCAGCAGGCAGCTTCTTGTAGTTAGGGCAGCTGCAGCACGTGCCACAGATGAAGTTCGCCAATTGATTGAGGACAAGCAGATCGAGGCCGAACTCGGTGCCAAGTCTCTCGGCTGCCAAGAGGACCTCAATATCGGCCATGCTATGGAAGCTTCTCGCTGTTTGGTTTATTGTGCAAGGCAGTTGGTTACCACTCCGTAGTCATGCTTTACACGTCGGTCACCTACACATAGCAATATTACATGCAATCAATTGCATTATATCACTTGTATGTCATCTTTTAGGAAGCTTTCAATGTCGGCAATCACCCTGTGACTTATAACATTATGCAATATGTATCAACACCTCATGCATAACATCGATGTGCCCGATGACTGGGCTTTGCGCAAGGTCCATTTAGCCAGCCAGTACGTCGAGGAACAATTTTGGTCTCATGTTCATCAGTCTCCATCCATTATTCCACCCATTGATCTTGATGTCCAAATGGCGTTGAGCTGTGCACAACTGGCATCGACTTTGGCCAATGCATATATGAATACAAGTGAGTTCTCTTCATATTTAGCACTTTGGTCCTGACTAGATAGCAAATCTTGATCTCAAACGATACAGCGATGCTTGCGGGCAGCAGCCAACCGGCCGCAGTTCCACACAGGAAGCGCGCCTGTCAAAGAAGTTCCCACCTAGTCGACAGATAGTACTTGAGAAGCCCTGCATTGTGTTAGATGCAGGTTATTGCATCATCTTTTGGTATGTGCCAGCAGCATTGTCAGTTTGGATGAAAGTGAGTGTGTCTTTTCATGCCGGTCATCCGTTAAACAGGCATTCATCAGGATGATATCAGTGCTGCGATGCATAATGCCAATGATCTCCTGAGAGACAGTATATTCTCAGCCAATGCAAATGGTGTTTGGAGGACAGATGGGTCATATTTTCATGCGACCGAAACACGCAGTGTGTCCCCAGGCTGTATCAATGTATCTCCCTGCTGGTTTCAACAGGGCCACGAGGTTAGTCGCATCTCACAAGAGTTTACAGTTATGTCGCTGACTATGACAAGCCTTATGGTCATGCCCATCAAAACACTGACGTCAGCTTCTGTCCAGACGTGTCGGCTACTCTCAAAAGTCCCCATGGATTATCCATCATTAAGTCTATGCAACGACCTTCCCTGCTCATCTCGGCCGCATTGAGGGTCATGCACCCTAGTCTATATTGGGACCCATTGCGAACCACCATTGAGATCGGACGCTGGGCTTATTCCACTGGACGAAGTGAGATGTATGATCGCATTAGGTATTGGGTGTCGGTCTTCACAGGTGCTGCTATAATGGCCAACCGATGGTCACCCGCACATCGCGATCCCCAATGCTGCCCTGAATGGTTTGATATCATGACATGCATCGGCAACTATCCAAACACCCACATGAAGCTTCCTAATCTAGGTATCGAGTTGGTATATGACTCAGGGGTGATGGTAGCATTCTGTGGTCGGCTTGTCCGACATGAGGTAGATGTCAGGTCGGGCGACCAATGGGTGTGGGCATGGTTTATGAGAGACAGTGTGCATAATCATTTCAAGATACCATGCGGACAGCACTCAATCTATGCTCAGGAGGATTATGCGAAATACAGCAAGGTAGAAGACATTTCAGGCAGTATGTGAACGGTATGTAAACTTCATAATCCTCATTGAGCGGCCCAGCATCTCTGGCATTATTTATGTATGTTTATCTCGTTACTTTTGTGGCTCAGCCGGATATACTTATCTACCTGACCTCATCCTGCCAGTATCATGGGCTACTGCATTATCAGTTTTCTTGGCTGGCCACCACATATACCTGTTCTATTTACCTGACTTTATCCTGCTAGTATCATGAGCTGCTGTGCATTGTCACCCTGCCAAGCTTACAGCCCGCATATACCCATCCAATCTACCTGACTTCATCCTGCTAGTTTCATGAGCTGCTGTGCATGGTCGGCCACATCTGATGCTTGATGCATATGTCGGCCAACATGTCAATTACACCGACAGAGCATGACCGGTTATATTTAAATTCATACGTCTTTCGGCCACATCTAATGCTCGATATATCTCTCGGCCGACATCTGAATGACACTGACCGAGCATGGCCGGAGGGTTGTTTATTTTGCATGTGATTCATAGTGTACGGGTCCAGATGTGACCGATGGATGCCGGATATACTGACATGTGACTGACCAGACCTGCATCTGGACCGAAATGTGACCGATAGGTATTGTTGGTATTGGCCGAGACCTTGGGCCGAACAATCAAAATTGACCCTGGTAAATGTCAGCATCCATGGGCCGAGACATCATTCACGCTGTCTTATAGGCATGTTGGGCCAAGTCATCACCTACGATGATTATGATTTTCAGCACCCATGGGCTGACACGTCATTCATGGCATCTTAGGGACATTCTGGGCCAAGTCATCACCCACTATAATAATTACATGAGATGTATTATCATCATACTATAGACCTACCGCTATATACTATGGGCCCAGCCGAGACTCTCGCATATTGTCAACTATGGGCCCACCCATATGTTACCTATACAATTGCCCATGGGCCCATGTGGGGTGGCCCGTATAGTACGGGTGATTGTCACATTGGGCTGACTGTGAGATACAGACTATTTCACTGAATGGGCTCAAAGGAGGGCCCACAGTAATGTACTCCCACATCTACTCTCATGTTGATGGAATAGAATTTGCTTCAATAGAAAAACAGAAGCACGCATCTGCTTCACTCGTTTACTTGTGCAGTTGGAAAACTGGAAGTGTAGACCTCTGCCAAGGTGCTTGTGCGGGGTCATGGCCTGCACTAATTAGCACTTCGAGCTTGAGCTTTTACCTTCAGGCTGGTCTAGCGATACAACGGTAGCTGTAACGTGCCGTACAGATCTTTGCCCTTGCGTTCCCATGCAGGCAAGTGGTATTATACCTCAATCCAACTAGTGTGTCTGATCCCATTTCTAGGATTTTCAGTGTAGGAGTTAGCACATATTGGAGATAGAGGTATGAGCACAACAAAGAAAATATTAGTAATATGTAGAAGAATTAGTAATGTAGGGAACGAATAACCGGTAATGTCCAAAACGGACATTATTTGTCATCGACTCGTGGACCATAGACAAGTCCGCGATTACATATACACGGTCCGGGTACTTACATTTAGCGTACCTTATTGTATATACTGTAGCATTATTTCAAGTAGAAATTGAGTCCAATTAATTATCTCAAAGTCTTCATTCAAATACTACACTAAAGTTTACAGGTTATGAGCCCTGCTACTACCATGGATACGACGCTCCCCAGCTCCTCATCATTATATCATATCCCCCAGCTCTCTGACGACAGAACGAACTGGATAACCTATAAGGAAAGGGCCCAAACGGTGATACGAGCATGAGGTCTGATGCGCTATCTTGATGGTAGGACGAAGGAACCTGTACCTTTCGAGATTGACTCGCAAGGACAAGCACTGAAGCCAAATAAATCAGTAGCTACCCAAACAGAGATTGAAGAACAGGAGAAGAAGGAAGACGAGTTTCAACAGAAGGACTCACTCGTCAAGCAACACATATTTAGTACGGTCTCAGACCGACTATTGTTGTGCATCCAGAGCCTCGAATATATGGGCAGAAATATGCCGAATCCACGAAGGCAAAACAGAGATAGTGCAGATAGATCTGCGATGGAAACTCCAGGACACCAGATGCGAGGAAGGTGGAGACGTGACGGCACACTTCAGAGACCTGTTAAGGATCCGAGAATCGTTAGCAGGAATGGGAGTAAGTATAGACAAGAGAGATTACTATGCCATTATCATGGGATCATTGCCGGAATCCTACAGACCAATTCTGTCATCAATAAATGCCACAGCACGCTGTAGAAACAACAATACTGTGAGGAACAAATGATGCTCCTGACAGTATCTAAAAATGTTGTAGGTCGTGCATTGCCTAGTCTGCTATGCTTGAGATGGCAAGCGTGTTCGACCCTTAAGGGGAAGCGAGTGCAGCGAAGATCTAGAGGTACGCGCTGAAGCGGGGCGCGAGAAAGCGCAGGTGTGCGCAAGGCACGAAGGCGCGGGAACGCGCGTGTGCTGCGCGAAGCGCGGGAAAGCGCGCGCACGTATGCGGAAACAATAGAGAGGTTAGACTTAAGTGATAATATGATGCAAGATAAGAGAAGAGTGCGAGATGTAAAGGAATAGAGTTATACTATGTTCTGCTAAGTAGTAAGTAAGTAGTAACAGGTAATTGGGAGGTAAAGTAAGTGGTAGGAAAAGTGACAGGTGAAGTAAGGTAAAAGTCAGGTGTGTAATAGTATGTACTGCTGGTGCTTATATAGCGCGCCTAAGCGCGGTCATGCGGAGCCGAAGCGCTACCGAGTAGGTATGTAGAGATATATATAAGTAAGGGTCCATGATAAAAATAAAGTGGAACAATATACAAATGAGAGAAACAGAAATATATGCACTAGAGAACTTGGAGGACAGTGGATGGGTGCTTCTGGATGGCTGGCGCTATAGGGCGCTCAAGCGTGGGAATGCGCGCGCGTGTATACATTGTGAAGCGCAGGAATGGTGCGCACATGGCGCGCGTTGCGCGAGAAAGCTGCGCCTCATAGTGGAATACCTGCGGATAGCACACAGAGTGATGCTGCAAGTTTGTGCTATGTACTCCTAGTGTAAAGTGCCATATCACACCATGAGAGGCATGATTCTCTACAACGCATAACAAAGCAGCTGCTTACCTCGTATGAGCTGATAAACGTTATTACAGAAGAATACGAACATCAGCAGATAAACAATCCCAAGACACAGAAGAAAGGGAAGAATAGTGCGTTTACAGCAAGGACAAACATGCTAAGAGGACGTACCACGACGAGCATGGGTGAAGATATCACTTGCTTCAATTGTGACAGGAAGGGTCACTATAAAGCCGATTGTTGGATGAAAGGAGGCGGAAAGGAGGGACAAGGACCAAGGCAGACGAAGAAAGGCCAAAAGGAAACGGCAAACACTGCAGACAAGATCGAAAGAGCAAATGATTATGCATTCGCAACGTCAGATCTAGCGAATATTGCGAAGAAGATAGACATACCAGTCAAAAAGTGCGGAGCAATTATTGACTCTGGCGCTACGTCCCATTTTTGCCCAGATAGGTCAAAGTTTGTAATGTTTGAGCCAATCAAGGCCCAAGACGTACACACCGCAGATGGATCTATTGTCAAAGCCATAGGACGAGGAGATGTTAGCATAGATCTTCCTCTGGGAGATCAGAAAACAAGCATTACACTCAAAAATGCTCTCTATACTCCAAAAATGGCTTTTACACTCATCTCGATGAATCATATTGCAACGGCAGGATTCGCTATCCTATTCGAGGATAAACTCTGCAAAATCCTGACAGCAGCACCAAAAAGACGGACCATAGCTGCTATTCCGCAAGTCAATGGGTTATACAGTGTTGTGGATCAAAATCAGCATCAAGCACACGCGGTAAAGACAAAACAAACCATTTTCAAGGCACACCGGACGTTAGGACACGTGTCACAGACTGCGATACTTGACGCTGTGAAGAAAGGATTAATCCAGGGTCTAGATCTCGATATAAAATCAAAACTGGAATATTGCGAAACCTGCGCACAGGCCAAAGCAATGTGTCAATCATTTCCCGAAGAATCCAGAACCAAATCTCATACCTATGGTGCATTGGTCCATACTGATCTCTGGGGACCTGCACAAACAGCAACAATAGGAGGATGTCTATATTACATCAGTTTTACTGATGATTATAGCAGGGAGACGAAGATAGAATTTCTGAAGAAGAAAAGCGACACACTTAACACATTCAAGCAATACGAGGCTTACATCAGCCGTCAACACGGAGTGCATCTGAACAAAGTTCGTTCAGATCAAGGAGGCGAATATCTGAGCAAAGAATTTGATGAATACCTGAAAGATCAAGGAATAATGAGACAACTCACAGTACATGATTCGCCATAGCAAAACGGCGTGGCTGAACGACTCAATTGAACACTGGTCGAACACGCACGAGCCATGCTCATCGCCAAGGACCTTCCGAAGTTCTTATGGGCCGAGGCTATTAATTATGCAGCATGGTTAAAGAATCGCTTACCGTCTCATGCCATTCCTGGGCATACGTCTTTCGAATTGATGCACAAAACTAAACCAAGCTTAGCGGCAGCAAGAGAATTTGGAACCAGAGTATATGTGCACTCACCAGATCATGGAAAGCTTGAAGCCAGAGCAGAAGAAGTGTTGTTCGTGGGAGTGGACAATGAAAGCAAAGGATACCGAATTTTTTGGCCGATGAAGAGACGGGTATCTATAGAACGCAATGTTAGCTTTGTCCCACCAGATGTCATCGTTCGTGACAATGTACTGGACGAGGGGGAGTATAACCAGGAAGAACAAATCAATGCACCGAAAATCGCCCAGCCCATCGCACAAACTCCCCAACTCCCCCAAACACCAAGTCAACCTCCCAAAACACCACCCCAGAGTGTACAAAAACTGTCGGATCCAATAACACCCAAGGACACGAGAGTACGACCACCTGCAGGATACTATAAAGCCTTGAATGAAGGAGAGAGAGCTAATATAGCAACAGAAGACTCACCAGACGACACTCAAATGAATCTTTCGTATATGGCCATGGCAGCCGCGCAAAGAGAACCAACACTTAAGGAAGTGTTATGTAAGTGGACTGGACGTGGATGAATGGCAACAGGCCATAGACTATGAGATTAGTCAATTGGAGAAACTTGGAACATGGGAGAAAGTAGACGCACCAAGAGGAGCCAACATCATACCGTGTCATTTCGTCTTAGCGACGAAATGAGGACCTGATGGGGAGAAAGTCAAGCTGAGAGCACGTCTAGTTGCGAATGGTCAACGTCAAGAATACGGCATCGACTATCAAGAAACATTTGCCCCTACCTCAAATATGACAACAATTCGGACAGTATTGTCAATGGCTGCAAGAAATGATTGGGAGATGCACCAAGTGGATATAAAAAGTGCTCACCTAAACACTACACTCAAGGACGACGTGTATATGCGGGCACCATCCGGATACTTGAAGAAGGGAGAGGAAGGAAAGGTCTTGAAGCTGCTGAGAAGCTTATACGGCTTGAAGCAAGCCGGGTTTGAGTGGTCCAAGGAGCTAGAAGAATTTTTCCTCAAAGCCAGATACACACGCTCGCAAGTCGATAGAGCGGTGTACTATCGGAGGGAACAGGATGAGCACACCGTCGTAACGGTATCGGTTGATGACATGGCCATAACATCAAAGCATCTGGAGCATATACAGAAGTTTAAAGATCAGTTGCGCCAGAAATTTGAGATAACAGACCTGGGAGAGCTTACCTGGTTGTTGGGTCTCAAGAGAGAGAGAGAGACCGAAGCGTGCGAACCGTAACGCTGTCGCAAGAGGCATATGTCAACACAATTGTCGAATGCTTCCGCCTCGAAGACGCAAAACCGGCGCATATTCCCATGGAGACTGGGATACAACTGACAAAAGAACAGTCAAACCATTCGCCAGGCACCAAATCTGAAATATCCGAACAACACATACCGTATCAGAGAGCGATTGGATCGCTAATGTACGCGGCAACTTGTACTAGGCCGGACATAGCACTAGCAGTGTTGGTACTGTCGCAATTCATGCGAGAACCGGCGAAGTCACACTGGGAGGCAGCAAAATGCATCATCCGTTACCTGAAGGCAACAAAGAAGGGAAAACTTACCTTGGGGGGGGGGGGGGGAGAGAAAGATCTAGAGGCTTATGCGGACGCGGATTGGGCAAGCCAAGCCCACAGGCACTCCATATCAGGATACCTGGTCCTGCTGCACGGATCACCGATAGCTTGGAGCGCGAGGAAGCAAACAATTATAGCATTATCAACGGCTGAAGCCGAATACATCGTGCTAACGTCTGCAATGAGGGAAGTGCTATATCTTCAGTCATTACTGAAAGAACTTTATAAAAGAAAGGACGCACCTATCACCATCTATTCAGACAACCAAGGCGCCATTGCCCTCGCCTCAAACAACAAGTTCCACACTAGAACGAAGCATATCGATATATGCTATCACTTTATCAGATCAGTCATCAAAAATGACACGATAAAGTTAGAATACATACCAACGGATCATAACCTCGCAGATGCTTTCATGAAAGCACTGCCAAGGCCGAGACTCGAAAGATTGAGAGATGAAATGGGAATAGGCTGTGCTCAAGGGGGAGTGTAGGAGTTAGTGCATATTGGAGATAGAGGTATGAGCACAACAAAGAAAATATTAGTAATATGTAGAAGAATTAGTAATGTAGGGAACAAATAACCGGTAATGTCCAAAACGGACATTATTTGTCATCGACTCGTGGACCATAGACAAGTCTGCGATTACATATACACGGTCCGGGTACTTACATTTAGCGTACCTTATTATATATACTGTAGCATTATTTCAAGTAGAAATTGAGTCCAATTAATTATCTCAAAATCTTCATTCAAATACTACACTAAATTTTACATTCAGCACAAAGCCTCGGTTGATGGCTGCATCTACCAGACTCTGCTTACTTGTATTGATCATACTTCCGGTCGAACTCATTGCCATCTTTGCAACAAGATGGTTTTGTAATCCTCCTTATTCTAGCTTTTTATATTCGTGGCTGGATCGGAGATAATGTACCATGTGATCAAACCACTTCGGATCAAAAGTCCAAATACATAAATACTTCATCCACTTTGCGGCATTGCCAGGATCCATTTCTCAATCAGCAATGAACTGCATATTATTCCATTGAAAACAGCATCAATAGGAAAATAGAAACACAACCCACCAGTATGTTGCTACGTGCAAATTCACCGGCCTCCTCAGCCAGGACTATAGCATATTTGATATTCCGAGGCCCAAAAGATGAGTCATCAAGTGAAGTGATGCAAAGCAAACTGCTCCTACTTACACTATTAATGCAGTACAACAACTCCTTTGTTGTGCAGCAGTCATTGTCCTTGGTGCATTTGTCGCCAAAAAGTCCACATGCACTGACAGACATCATAGATGTTGTCAGCACAACAATAACGGTGAGGAAGGAGAAACACATAGTTACGCGAGCTAGTATGAACTGTTGATATGCTCTAAAAATCTCTTTGGAGTGAAGTATAGGAAGATCCTGATGACTTGTTTTTATACTCGCGAAAAATAATGCTTATTTCAATGTTTCAGCGAGATGGTTTAGGTACGAACATATAGGCTATCTTATGAGAAACTGATTGGATTCAGTTTTTGCCGGTTGCAACCTGCAGAAGAGGCAAAACTCCGGGCTATATGTAGTTGTGTCGTCCCTTCTGTCATCCTTGCCGTTGTAATTGACCACCTTAACCTCATCCAGAATAGCCCAGAATGTCTGGGATCTGGCCACTCCGGGGCCAAAGTTCGGGGTGGACTCCGGGGCCACAGTTTGGGGGCCCTTCAGCAAGTGCGGCTGACCCAGGCAGAGCTTGAAATGTTCTAAACTCCATTCAGTCATACTCACCCTCTCCTCCTAACCTCCTCCTGCCAGCATTCCTTCTGCCGTGGATGCCTACTCACACGCCCGTCATCCCACTGTGGATGCCTACTTGCACGCCTGTCGTCCTGCCCGCCACATGCAGATGGCACTCTGTTTTGATGCTCCGATCCAAATGGAGCATGTTGTGGTTGCTCGTGCTCATCGCCCATCTCACCTTAACACCTTGCCTTCCCGTCTTTCTCGCCTTCCCGTCTTTCTTGCCCGCCCGCCCACTCTCCCCTCTGGCCCATGTCTTCCTTACAGCAAGCAGACATCGTGTTCCTTGCCAGCTTAGCTGTGCATCAATCTCCCATTGGTCTCACCTATGATTGCGCAGTCTGTGGAGGCGCTCTTCCACTTACCATCTGTCGGAGTGATAGGAGCGGGAACTCAGGAAAGCCAATGGCTAGGGTACGTGGTTAGTATATTGAGCCGTCGGTCATCATGTTAATGCTCCTTGTCAGCATGGATCCTGCGCCTTCTTCCGCTGGTTCCCTCAGCTTCTCTCGCATCCAGATATCATGGCTCTCATCCCTGGAGGTTCTCCTACCCTTGGCGCAGCCTCTGCAGCTCCCTTCCCCTCAACACAACCTCTGCCCTCGAGTTCTCAGCTGCAACCTAACAACAAGAAGTCACACAAGCGAGGTGAGCCATGCATTGGCACGTTCTGTCGTCGACCTTGTGCACTGCAATGCCCCCATGGAAAGTGCCTTTCCCATTGCACTACGGACGATGGAGGATGTCCAGTGCATGTCACTGATAGCGCAGACAACCAGTGCCCTCAGGCTGATGTGCAGCAGGATTGGGATTGGGGCTTTGACCAGGATACTCTTGCTGACTTGGAGACCCACTGGCATGATTTGTCACTCGACGCCGGGGCTGAGATGAATGATGGGTTGAGGGCGCTTCAGCATGCACTCCAGTCTGCTGGTGCTAGTGGCCAGCCCGTATTCCCATCGTTCCATGATATCTTGACGGCTCCTGTGCAACCTCCTGCCCCATCACAGCAGCCTCAGGCTAGTCTGCCCCCCCTGTCACAACCCCCTCATCTTCTGACGCTCTCCCAGAATTATGATGCCTCTGCCATGCACGCATTCCCGATCCACACTCCATCAAAGCCCCCCCCCGCTGACCTGCACCAAACTGGTTCGGTGCATGGATGACTAATGCTACCCCATGAGCCTAATACCCTAGAAATCACTACAAAACCATTTCCCTCTATTCTAAAGCCAGAATGCAGCTCAGACAAATATTTCATTTCATCTTTTCAATGGAACTCAGACAGGCTGAATATTTTTGTATATTTAATTCTGCGATGACCTTACAGAAGTACTGTGGTCTGACATAGCTTGGGAAGTGTAAACAGCCACCCACGAACGACCACGTTATCAGCCATTGGTATTTGTCTGAATCGCTGACCATGGAGATATTTGTTTTTATAGGTGTTTATCTATAGATCATCTATCTAAGAAGACACCGCGTCACTGATCAACTTGACCCTTTGTGGGCAGGTGACCTAAACACGCGTGCACGCAAGGCAATCGAGAGCACAAGGGTGGCAGGTCGTCGGAAATAGATGGAACGGAAAGCCAAACAGCGCTTCGTGCTGTACTGGTTTGATGCAGTAAGTTGGTTCTTAGGTTCGCGTTTGTGGCACTTACTCAATGGTTACATAGGACAATGCACCTGTGCTGATGCAATGGGTCATGCACTGCCCATATTTCCCTCAGTACCAGCTCTCAGGTGATCCTGCACTTGTTGCATCCCTTGGCGACAATATCCTCAAGATCGATGTTTTTGAGGAACGCTTCATGCGGTGGATTCCTTCTGCACTCACATACCCCTTCACCCTTGACTCGCGGTGTCATATCTTCGTTCGACGCCACGGTGTCACCGACTGCAGTGATTTCGATGATCTCTTCAAGTCCTCAAAGCTGGTGGCTCGCCCCACACACATGCGCTTCAACATGAAAGGTGAGCGTGATAGTTTGCGCAAGATGAACAAGCAGCGACAGGCATCTGCTGCTGCTTCCTTGTCGGATGTCGAGATCATTGACGACACGCAGCTCACACCAAAACCCACCTTGGGCAAAGGCCGCCGTCTCACTACCCCACCACTATCCCCCACTCAACTACTATCCGACTCAGACAATGATTTTGACACTCGTCTCGCTCGCTCAATGTTGCCAACACCACCGCTCATCATGTCATCATCATCCTCACCCGTCAAGTCAATGCCGCGCGTCATTCCTGCGCCAGCTCTCCGTGTCATTCCTGTTCATATTCCGATCTACAACCCGGCCAAGCCACGACAGAGGTGGCCACATGGAATGTACACGGTTGATATGGCCATTGGCTTTCAGCAGATGGCCATCCCAAAGCTTTGCGGCTTCTATGGCCAGGAGCAGCTTTTTCGTCTGATCTTTGGCGACACTCCATTTGTCAAGACCACGTACCATGATAATCACAAGGCATGGCGCAAGACAGACCTGACTGTCCTCGAGACACACAAACTCACTGGATGCACTGAAGATGGCCTCTTGGCAAACTACCTTGCAGCATGGCGTGCAGCCTTGTGTCTGGGCAGCAAGAAACGTAGTGGGCGGAAGTAATTTTCATCATGTCTTTGTTATGTCTCATCCATTCCTTGATGTGCTTTCTTGGTTTGTCTGATTGCCTTTGCTACCTACTACATACTACACTTCTCATGTAATTAGCTATCAATTGATTTGTCTTTATGAAAACATTATGACCGCCCCATCGAAGATGCAGCGCAGCATAAACATCTTTGGGTCAGTATGTCAAGGATGTTTCTAATCACATTCATAACAGCTTCTCTCAACGCGAGTGCAGTACTACTTCAAGAAAGCTTGGGTCACCCACTAAACTATCTGAACATCATCGGCAATTCAAGTTGGTTCGCAGAACCAACTTGAATGCCGATGATGTTAGGATAGTTTAGTGGGCGAAGGATTGGATCAGTGCACCTTCAAAACCACACCAATCCAATCCTTCACCCACTAAACTATCCGAACACTGTAAGGTATTGAAGATGCAAAGAAAACATCTTCAATACCCTACAGTATAGGTGTAGCTAGCTACATTTTCTTGAAGAACCCCTGAAGGAGGATCAAGATCTTCAAGCGCCTTCAAAACCACACTGATCCAAAAGGGGTCGTAAACAATTTTGGATCAGCGTGGTTTTGACACCTATACTGCAGGGTATTGAAAATGTTTTCTTCGGTTAACAAAGAAAACATTTTCAATACCCTACAATATAGGTGTAGCTAGCTCTTGAATGCTGATGATGTTTGGATAGTTTAGTGGGTGAAGGATTGGATCGGTGTGGTTTTGAAGGCACACTGATCCAATCCTTCGCCCACTAAACTATCCAAACATCATCGGCATTCGAGTTGGATAGCAGGAGGAAAAGGGTTCTTAGCTAGCTACATTTTCTTTGTTAACATGAAGTAGCTATTACAAATGTGATTCATATGAAAACCTACCTTGACCATCGTGTTCTTGAACTCAAAGTTTCCAGCATTGGTACTAATGAAAATATCATATATTGGAAGGTAATTAAACAGGTGGATGGTGAGGAAGTTTGCCTTGTATGCAAAGGGTAGCAACAGTCATACGGTTTCGACGGAGGATCATTTCATCAAGGAAGAAATCATACCTGACCGGCGTCATCTCTCGGCAAATGTTATGAAAGCCACCAAACCAAACATTCATTTGCTCTGCAATTGATGAATTGAAATAATACTTACCATTGTCATCAAGGAGTTCAGGGTATGCCTTCATGTCACAGCACTCACAGCAGAGCATATCACTAGCCTTATGCTTTGTTCTGTGATGGAAGGCATCCACACACATGCCCATCCCCTCAAAGAACACGATCTTGCAACTCTCCACTTCACGCAACGCATTACAATTGGAGTCATAAATCATATGTTGCGGTTTATGAGCGCGCGGGAGGGTGAACATTTTCTTGATCATGATCTTGTTGAAACCCTGGTCAGCACATATTCTCTGATAACAAGACTTGGACTTACTAGCACATTTGAGACAGCCTCGTGGTGGTACATCGTGCCACGGCCACAGATTACTCCACATGGACAAACAACAAGCTGTTCGTTGTTCGTGCACTGACGGCGGAAGGTAGCCTTGAGTTTGAGTGGAGTGTCCTTGGCGCTACACCCATCAGCATCCAAATCAGATGCAACAGGATGATCCAAAACTCCTGTTGAGGTTGTTGTGGCCACCTGATGAAGATGCACAGCACCAGAGGCCATATTGTGCTCGTACCATTCTTCAACATCTTGAAGAGGGACGTCGTCTGTTGAAGTCGCAGGGAGGTGGATGGTGATAGCATTGTTTAACTTGGAGAGCTTCTGACATTGAGTCTTGCTCTTTCCGTGGTGTGATGAGTCAATGTTGACAGCTTCCATGCGGAGATGGACTGGGTCGTCACATGCCTTGCGCTTTCGTCCGGTCTCAATATCAACCACGACCGGTTGACCACAGCTGTTGACAGCACAGACAGCCTCAAGGTGATGGTGCTCGGCACAGAATCGAAGCCGGTTGTTGTCGAGAGGGTTTTTGCACTGTGGAATAGCACAACAAGGGCATCCAACAGTCACGCCATCGGTAACAATGACCTCAGTGTGGTGCAGGCCACCATCTGGTGACTTGAAGATGCGCATGCACCCGAGACAAGTGTGAGGGAGCTCGTCCTGTCCTTGAAGCACGATCCAAGTGTTGCGCGCATACATGGCGCCCATGAAACGATTTTTCTGGTCACCATCGTGAGGAACAACGAGTGATTCATTGCATTGTTGGTGATCGTCAAGCAGGGCGAGAAGCATGAAGCAATCCCAGACTTGCTCTGTCGTCAGAGCATTGCCGAACTGCCAGTGATCATCACTGTCGCCAAGGTTGTGACGAGTCTGGGCAATTGCGTATAGGTTGGCACAGTTCGTCGCCGATATACTAGCGAATATCATACCAAGTCAATGATGGCACCGCGATAAGTAAATGAAAAGACGTACGCAATCTGCATCAGATCCATCCAGTGCATGGCAAGTTGCAGCTCGACGAACTGATGATCGGCGACCTGTATGTACTGTGGCATGCCTTGGTAGTATGTTCAGATGGCCCCATTGATGCTATAGTTGGCCTGGTATTTGGTATTGCACTCTTTGTCATACTTAGCACCTAGCGCATGCACTCGAGAACAAAAACTTACCTTGGCACTTCAGGTGTATCGTCCAGCCAGGCTTTGCACCCTTGCTGTGAGTGAACAAGACGATACGGCGTGGCTCCTCCTTCTTCAGCAATGATCCGCGCTGCCATCTGCACACTCGTGGTTGGCACAAATCTTGATGGGAGGGTATAGCGTGCGTTTTGCTGTTCATATCACATCAGCACAATTCATGAGGGAAAAAAAATATGTACTAAGTCCTAGCTCGTGGCCATAAATCCTGAATGCGGTCTCATCATCTGCGCTCGCCTCAGCGCTACTTGGGAGCTCCCACACAATGTCCTTCACCAAGGACCATAGGACTTTGACTGCCTCTGGCGGCATGTCCAAAGAGGCTGCAAGGAAGCCAGTGACACTTGCTGGAAGAAAAGGAGGGGCGCAGAAGATGGAGATGTGGTGTGGCTGAGGCTGCAGGATATCCTCCTTGAGGATCTTGGCGCGGCGAAGGAAGGAGGTGAAGCTGTTGAATGGAAGGTCAGCAAGCAATGGATGATGGAGTACCAAGTCAAAAAGTGAGCCAATGTTGGGTGGGCTTGCACCTGTTGGCAAGGACACCGACATTGCAATAAGGCAGGTGGTGGGCGCGGCAACAAGGCAGGGGTGAGGAGGCAAGCTTACTAGGGGGGCGGCGCACTGACATAATTGCTTAGAGTCTGTTCGGCCACCAATATTTGCGCCAGTTTATGCAGGTTTAGAATCTATGTTTTGCTTTCATAATCATAGGACCGTGCTGGTCACAGTGTGACCATCAATCAATACTAAGTAGTAGGCATGCCCATTACCCGTCTACAATCTATCCATCATCGCAACTCTTACAGGATGTCTCAGGGCAGAAAAAGTGCTCATGGTGGTGCAGAGCTAATGGAAGCGAGAGATCAGTGTGTGTGGACAGAGGCAGATGAAACCATCCTCATCCAGTATGTCACCACCAACCGCTCACAAGGTGGTGATGGTATGAACTTTGATCACATGTTTTGGGTTGCTGCTGCCGCTGAAATGGAAAAACACCCCTGCTCGGGTGCAAGCAAAACAGCGGCAGCATGTCAATCAAAATGGGGGTGGGTATGTACTACTACTATATCAGCCTTGGTACCCTCATTAATGATCAAATTTCAGCTCCATGGTACATTCAACGTCGTCGACAAAGTGGCCAACACTTCCGGACTATCTTACAGCATGGAACGCAGAGCTTCAATCACCCCAGAGTCCGAAAACATGTGGACCGACTTTGTGAAGGTAAAGTGATTTCAATTCGCATCAAACTACTATGACAATGCTAATTACTATGAATCAATAGAAAAATCCAAAGGCCAAAGGCCTCCGGGACAAGGGTTGGAAGCACTATGAGGCGCTGAAAGGTCTCATACCTGTCAAGTCAGGTAACAACAACTCGTTCTTTGCCACCATCGCGACACAACCTCCCATCATTCCTTCGCCTTCTTCTAGCAGCGCAGCCACCCCCCTTTCTTTTGATGAGGTCCATATGATGGACCTTGGAGATGCGCTCGATGGGATCGAGTTCCCTGGCTCTGTTTCAGGCGGCCAGCGCGCAACCCCCCTCACCCCAGAGAGCCTCCCTCCATTCAATGCCACACAGCAACCCTCCCTTGAGTCGGTCTGTGTTAGTGTGCCATCATCAACAGCTTCTGGTAAACGGAAGCTGATTGATGATGATGAAAGTACGCTTGATATTGTTACCCGCCCCCCACATTCAATGAAATTGGGAGACTCGGCGAAGTCTGCACGCCTGACGATGCCTGTGGCCATCCAGCAGATGGGGACCAGTATTGGCGGTCTTAACACAATGTTCAAGCGCGCGGCCAATGCTCTTGAGGCCAACACCTCCAACACCTTGGCGCAATCAGTAGATCCCATCCCTTTGCACAGGCAGAAGGCGGTGAAAAAGTTGCAGAGTGAGGGTCTAGAGGACATACAACTACTCAATATCTTGAATAAATTTCAGACCGACATCACTATCATTGATATTTATCTCGCTATTGAGGTAGATAGTCTTCGGCGGTTGTTTTTAGAGCAGCATTCAAAGGAGTGTTACATGGATTCTTGTTGTGTCATGTTCTCTTGTATTGTACTTGTAGTAGCAAAGCAATATCACTATTTCTATAGATCATAGTCATTGATGAGGATCCGGTCTTAATCTGACAACAATGTCATCATTTGACGGAGATACTTTGGATCATAGTCATCGATGAGGGTCCGAATGGCTATGGTATTAATGCGACTACAGTACCAGTGGTTCTATGATTGCCTGCTCCCCCCTCTGAATCCTTTCCCTGTTGTAGGCCTCCCACATCTCACTAGCAATCTGGTCACGATGGAGGCTCACACGAGTGCGTGCGTGCTCAGTAGGAGGACCATTAGCAAGGTTTCCAGTGTCAGTGAGAATGTGCGCATCTAAGACATTACGATAGTCCATCATGTCGTTTGGATCGTGAACTTGAATAATGTTGTGCACGAGACACAAGGCAGGAGGAATGCGCGCTTGAATGTCCATTTTGTACTCTGGTGGGAGGAGAAGGATACGAAATCGGCGCTTGATGACACCAAAAATGCGCTCAACAGCATTTCGAAGCATTGCATGACGCAAATTGAAAAGTTCTTTGCAATTACGAGGCCTATGTAACAATGTGAACATAAGTATGAATGGTACTAGCAGAATGCATCATATAAAGTATTAGCACGACCCCACTCTGCAAGATGATAACGCACGTCCCGAAACGGGACCAGAAGCTCATTGCACGAGCCAAAACCAGTGTCCGCAAGATAATACTTTCCCTCAGGGATATTGAAATCGGTAGTACAAGCATCGTGATAGACACGAGCATCTGCAGCTGACCCCTCCCAACCGCTCAACACTGTAAACTTTAATGTAGTATTTGAATGAAGACTTTGAGATAATTAATTGGACTCAATTCCTACTCGAAATAATGCTACAGTATATATAATAAGGTACACTAAATGTAAGTACCCGGACTGTGTATATGTAATCGCGGACTTGTCTATGGTCCGCGAGTCGATGACAAATAATGTCCGTTTCGGACATTACCGGTTATTCATTCCCTACATTACTAATTCTTCTACATATTACTAATCTTTCCTTGTTGTGCTCGTACCTCTATCTCCAATATGCGCTAACTCCTACAAACATGTAGGTAAACGAAAGGTTGAATGAACATGCCGCGAGGCAGTTTTGAGAGAAGTTCCCCTTGCGATCCCGAGCAGCATGCCGATCTTCACCAAAAGGATGGCATGTGATGTGTGTACCGTCAATGGCTCCGATAGCGTCAACAAAGAACGGGAAGAACTTCGGGTTTTTCGTGATTTCGGGGGGAGGAGGGCTATCTACGTCGGGCAGGCGGACATATGTCATATATATTGGTGGCGAGGAGAATGCAAAAAGAACCTGTTTAAAATACCTGAAAGAACATAAGCTTGATACCAGGACAGCAACAATATATGTACTTTGATATTGTCTCGTTGGACCGCTGAAAGTGTTCACCAAGATGGTGAATCGAGAGACCCGTGACAGATGCATAGAGAAATATAGCAAGCTGCTCTTCGAGCAGTACATGCCTGGAATCTCTGCAACCTGCTTGCCGAAGGAGATTGATGAGCACATAGAAAACATGCTTGTGGACCCCAAGCTCGCATCTGATGCGTTCAGGGTGTCCAGTGAGAAGTTCGGTGACCCATGCAGTCCCCGACAAAGCGGAGGTATGATACGGCTCTTTGTCGTAGTAGGTGTTTGAGTAAGCTTCGAGCGCGGTAGTTGTTGCGTTGAGGACTGTAATGACCGTGTGCATAGCATGCATGGCCATCTGCATGATGCATGCCAGATACCTCTTATCACTCTCTTCTGCATCTTCGTCCATCTCCTCTGCCTCCACAAGGTCGTATTCGTCCTCGTTAGCGTCCTCGTCGTAATCAGGATCAAGAGGCATTGTATTGATAGTAGGACAAGGCATACGGTAAGCGTTATCGGAGCGTGACATCTTGTTCAAGCTCCAACAATTAGCAAAGCCAGAACCAAATTCTAACTTGCGCAAATAACGCAAATAATGGTGGCCGAACAGACTCTTACGTGTAATGTCAGCCTCGTGAATTGAAACTCCAACTGAAAAGGTCACATGCCCCGAACTTTGGCCCCGGAGTCCGCCCCGAACTATTTGCCCCGGAGTGGCCATTTCCTGGATGCCCTCGAATAGCCTGTGGTATTATTTCTTGTTCGACCCGATCCAACTCTTCGAAATCAAAAGCATCTCCTTCCAGCATCTCAATATACTTAAGTTCTTCAGTCTTTTTCGATTCTTCTAGATCCGCAAATTCGGTAACAACATCGTCAGGCGAGACATTCTCTGAAACTAAGGTACAGCCGATTGAATTCAAACATCTACAAATATTGCTCGAGCAGTACGAAAATTTGTCTCAAGGCAACTATGCTGATTGGCTCCAAACTAGGTATTACACCATCATCCATGATGCCAAAGTGAAAGCAGAAGAGCATGACTCACTGTGGCGACGTGCCGCTCGGGCTGCCAGCTCAATTTTCACCTGGATCCTGGCAGTAATTACCTCCTGCCACACCCTAAGGCGTTTAAGTGAGTCAGGTGGTTGAATCCTGGTTGCACAGCGACCTGCTCATACTCACGAAATAATAACAGAATTGACTGCAGCATTCGCCATCTGTAATGCAAGGTGTATCCACGGGCGAACATGCGGCACTGGCAAACATAGACACTGTCAAAGTAACAACAACAGTGAGGAGGGAGAAACGCATTTTCTGTGCGAGGTGATAAGGAATATTCTGAGGGGATCTCGTATGATATTTCTGAGGATGAAAAAACACT